AAAACAATGTTAATTAACTATCTATTATTATATTATGCAATTGAACATTTTGAAGTACTTTAGAGCTAAAATTTGAGGCCTCTAGGCCTCTATAATTATTGCCATCACTTTTTTATATGAATTTAAAACTCCTTTTTATACAGGGTGTCACGAAAGGTTTGTTACAAACTTCTAGGGATGGTAGATCTCGTAAAAATAAAACTTTTTTCTTAATAAACATTTGTCCGGAAATGCTTCGTTTTCCAGATATACAGGGTGGCCCAAATTTGAGCCTCATCATTGGGATCTCGGTAACCGTGAGAGATACGGGGTCGGTTAAATTATAGCAAAGTTGCGCAATTTTATGACCAAGAGAATACCGTTTTGAAAATAGAAAGATTCCGAATACTTCCGGAGATATTCCGAAAAAACCAAAATTTTGTAAAATCGTTTCTATTTTTTCCCGGGCTTATTTGAAAAGCAATTTTAAAATAAATGTCACTTCTTCATTGTCACTTTTTCTCCTTTAGAAGATGGTGCTACTAAATTTAAAATTCGACGTTTTGTCTTCAGGCGGCCATCCTCAACTTCCTTTTTTTAAATACAGACCTGGATTTTTTATTTGCGATTTTGTCATTTTTGCGCATCCTTAAACCGATACTGTCTATAATTTTTCAATAACACAGCAAAAAAAGCAGGTCCGTATTTAAAAAAAAATTAATGATGATTTCAGAGGAACGGAACATTGGATTTTAAATTCAATACCGCCATCTTGTAGAGAAGAAAAAGTGACAATGGCAAGGTGAAATTATTTTCATTTAAATCATTTAAAAAAAATTTGAAAAACTAATTTCACATTCCCATTGTCACTTTCTCTTCTTTACAAGATGGCAGTATAACATTTGAAATCCGACGTTTTTCAAATACGGACCTGTTTTTTCACCGTGTTATTGAAAAACTATAAACAGTATCGGTTTTAGGATGCCCAAAGATGACAAAATCGCAAATAAAAATCTAGGTTCGTATTTAAAAAACGTAAGTTAAGGATGGCCGCCTAAAGACGAAACGTCGAATTTTGAATTAAGTACCTCCATCTTCTAAAGGGGAAGAAGTGACAATGATGAGGTGACATTTATTTTGAAATTGCTTTTCAAATAAGCCTGGAAAAAAAAAAACGATTTTTCAAAATTTTAGTTTTTTTCCGAATATCTCTGGAAGTATTCGGAATCTTTCCAGTTTCAAAACGGTATTCTATTATTGGTCATAAAATTGCGCAACTTTGCCATAATTTAACCGACCTCGTATCTCTTACGGTTACCGAGATCCCAATGATGAGGCTCAAATTTGGGCCACCCTGTATATCTGGAAAACGAAACATTTCCGGACACATGTTTATTAAGAAAAAAGTTTTATTTTTACGAGATCTACCATCCCTAGAAGTTTGTAACAAACCTTTCGTGACACCCTGTATAAAGATATGTACTAAGTATTATAGAAAATTGACCTAATAAACTTGTTTTGATTATTTAATATGAGGTTTGTTCAAAATTTATTCTTCTTCACCATCATATTCTTTTCAGTTATTTCGTTCTTTTTGTTGTCGATTTTCTCCTTTTTGTGCAAGTTGTCGTCCTCTTGGGCTAATTTTTCATATTTGTAAGTTTTGCGGACAAGCAGCGGCATTTCCAGTTGCGTCAGAATCTTCTGAGCGCATCTGATTCTCGTAGAGGCAGGAGGCTGCACACTGTGCAAAGGACTCGCCTCTCGAATCGGAGACAAACGGTTCTTGCTGCAGTAGTCTTTAAGAGTCATTTTCATGTCTTGCTTTTGAGATCTGCAATTGAAAAATTCAAAAACAGAATCATCTAATTATTACTGTACCTTTTTATTGCACCAGTTCTGGGTTGTCTTGGATAGGCGCCTCCAATGCAATGACCAGAGCAACAAGCGTGAATGGAAGAGCCAGAAGTTGAAGATAAAATGGAAGAGCCTCCGTTACTTACGCTGTACAAACTGTCGGATTGCGGTACTGATGCTGAAGCCATTGAGTAGCCAGATGCTGACGAAGGCAGTACTGCACCAGTCTACAAAAAAGGCTTTTGTAGCAAATTTAATCTTCTATCGAATAAAACAAGATTCATTGAAATCGGTCCAGGTGTTTTAGAGTTATGGCCGTATTTCGATTTAATGGGGCTATGGTCAAGCTGGAAATTTTCTTTTGGAATTTTTTCCGGGCTTAGGAGGCCCTAAATCAAAAAACGTCAAGAGGCATTTTCGCCTTATTTTAGCCCCCTTTAGCCAAAAAAAAATAATTTTTCCAAAATTTTCAAGTTTGATTTTTCCATTGAAAAGCCTGGAAAAACATGGAAAATTGGAAAATAAAGGGAAAAAAAAGTTGATTTCGGGACTTTTTGGCTATCTTGAAATTTCGAAATTCTGACTTTGATTTTTGGTCCTCTATACCTACAATACAGAAAACTCTGAAAATTACAAAAATTGAAACTTCAACCAGCCATAGATCGGTAACCGTAAGTCGTAGAGGAAAACCGTTCATGACTACATTATAGAGCTCGTCGAGATCTACAAAAAAAGCTCAGTGAGTTGTTCCTCTACGGCTCACCATTTCCAAGATATTCCACTTGGAAATTTTAAAATCGACAGGATTTTTTTTCAGCGAAAAAATCAAAGTCAAAATTTCCCGGATTTTTTTCCATGACGTCATAGAGGACGTTCAGACAAATGTCGGAACCCACTTTTCCCCCCTCAATTCTCAGTTTTTCCTGGAGTTTTTGCTTTGTTTCTTTATGAATTTCTTATGAAAAAAATGGAAAATCGAAATTTTCGAATTTCGAAAAAACAAAAATTTCGTTGTATAGAGGAGGTCAAAACAAGCAGAAAAGCGATTTGGCATTTTCCCGTAGGACGTCTCCTAAGCCTGGAAAAAAATTAGAAAGAAAATCTATAGGGATGAGGTTTTTCCAGCCTGACATGGTCTTATTTAATCGGTTATAACTCTGGAACGCCTGGACCGATTTCAATGAATCAAGTTTCATTCGAAAGAGGATTAAATTTGCTACAAAACAGTTTTATCCAGAACTTCCAGATTTCAGGCCTTTAAATTTGAAAATTCCTTAATTTTTCATATTCAAATCGGAAGATTAATGGGCCATTACTCTGGAATGCTTTGATCGATTTGAGTACGAATCATGTTCCATTCGATAGAGGATTTTAATGAGCCTAAGTGCATTGAAAATAAACAATTTTTCTTAATTATTTAAACAATTTTAATAGTTTTATTAGTGGCGCCATCTAGTAATCGAGAGTCTAACTAAAAATTGAAAATTTCTTTTGCTTAATATTAGTTATTATGACAGGAATCTGTAATTCGCATTTTTTGGCCCTCGATCATTTTGTTCCAAAATTTTATCAATTATTTTATTGGTTGTATTGATTTTTTCAAATTTTAATTTCCTAAAAGAATAATAATTACTTTATTTTGCATTAAAATCAATTAATTACCATTACAAGAATCTGTAATTGGCAACTTTGGCCGCTCGTTGATAGATGGCGCTGATAGTTTAAATAATTTGTTTTTTCGAATTATTATTAATTTAAATAATTTTTGTATTGATTACTTGCTTTATATATCTATATTTATTACTTTTTATTATTAATAAATCATTATTCTCTTATAAATCGATTGATTATTGTTACAGAAATCTGCAATTCGCAAGTTTGGACAGTTGGAGATTTTATGCAAATGTAAGTACTAATTAGTTAATTTTAATGCTTTTTTCAATTAATATCGGTTTATTGATTATTAACTATCAGTAATTAAGCGTCATTTGCATAAAAATCGAATTAGTTTCATTAAAATTTTGGCTGTTCGTTAATAGATGGCGCTAGCAACTTTGTTGATTAATTTTTACATTTTATTCGATAATTAATTGATTTTGATAATTCATCTAATCGACAATCGTCTAAAATAATCATATTTGGCAATAATTGAACACTAATTGTTTATAAATACATTTAATTATTATGACAGGAATCTGTAATTCACATTTTTTGGCCCTCGGTCATTTTGTTCCAAAATTTGCATATTTTATCAATTATTTTATGGGTTGTATTGATTTTTCATGATTTCAATTGCCTTAAACAATAATAATTACTTTATTTTGCATTAAAATCAATTAATTACCATTACAAGAATTTGTAATTGGCAACTTTGGCCGCTCGTTGATAGATGGCGCTGGTAGGTTAAATAATCTGTTTTTTTGAATTATTATTAATTTCAATAATTTTACTATTGATTACTTGCTTTATATGTCTATATTTATCACTTTTTATCAGTAATAAATCACTATTCTCTCAAAAATCGATTGATTACTATTACAGAAATTTGCAATTTACAAGTTTGGATAGTTGGGGATTTTATGCAAATGTGAGTACTAATTAGTTAATTCCAATGCTTTTTTCAATTATTATCGGTTTATTAATTATTAACTAATAGTAATTAAGCGTCATTTTTATGAAAATCGCATTAGTTTCATTTAAGTTTTGGCTGTTCGTTAATAGATGGCGCTAGCAACTTTGTTCATTAATTTTTACATTTAATTCGATAATTAATCGATTTTGATAATTTATCTAATCGTTAATCATCTAAAATAATCATTTTTGGCAATAACTGAATATTATTTGTTTATAAATATATTTAATTATTATTACAGAAATCTGTAATTTGCACTTTTGGCCCCTAACGATTTGATCCAAAATTTTGTTATTTATTTCATTAATTTTAAGGAAGGTATTTATTAATTAAAATTTCAACCCGATTCCAACGTAATTAGTTTTCAATTAAAGCTAATCAAATTATTTACAAATTTTCTGTGAATGATTTCAATAGTTTTGCAATTACAATGGTATTACCCTAGTATCGCCATCTATTATCATCATGCCTCAAACATTTTAGTACAATTGCTTTTATATTAGTACAATTATGCAAACATCACAAACATCTGGAAAACTTCAATTTCAGTGTATTTGAATTCAGCAATAATGAGACACGCTAGTTTTATTGCACGTACGATTTTCGTGCATAACAACGACGTGGAAGCCGCATGCAGGGTTTTAAATAGGATTTTAGGCAAAGAAGACATCTTGGATCAGTACCGACGCACCCGGTACTTTGAGAAACCTTTCCAGGTAAAATTACTAAGTATAAATTATTAGGTACTAATAATAATCATTGTATAAATAGTTCCGCAGAAGAATCAACTTTGAACGCTGCAAAGCAATCTACAACGAGGACATGGACAGGAAAATCAAGTTTGTCCTAAGAAAAAACAGGGCCGATCCATTTCCAGGATGCTTATAAATTGTTTATTGTAATAAATTTAGTACATTTAATTAATTAAAAGGGTTCAAGTTTTTATCGCATTCAAACGGGTTCAAATCCTCAGTAAACGGGTTCATTTTGTCGTCATAATCATCAAATGGGTTCTTTTGTGGTCTGATTCTGCCCTCTGATTGGCGCAAACGGGCTTCCGTCACACTAAAACAAAACGTTATTTTTTTTAATTCAAATCAATTATTATAGTAGAAGGTACTTTTGATCCACCACGATTTTTGGTGTTTTCCCTTCAGCAATTCTCAGCCTTCCTTCAGTGATTGGAGGCTTGTAGATGTCCAATTTAGGCTTATTAGATTCAGGTTCGATTAGGATTTTGTAATTGTTGAAAACCCCCCGGCCAAAATATTCAGCTGCAACTGAAAAACCATCGTGGGCCTTATCAAGTTGGAAATGGAAAGTTTCGTGCAAGTCTTTGTTGTATTCTCTTGCTTTTAGAAGCTCTATTAGGTTTTTGTTTTCGGGTTGGCAAGTGGGACAGTCGTTTTCGTCGTCGGAAAAACTCTGGAAACAATGCTGATGGAAACTGTGTCCGCACAGGAAATGGATGTTGGGCAATTCCAAGGGACGATGGCAGGCGGCGCAACGAGACCCTTGTATTCTTGTCACCCCATTGCGAAGTTCGTCCAAGCGTTTTTTGAGTTTCTCGGTATCTTTTTGGTAGTTTTTGGTGAGCTCTGATGTTTCCTGGGTCTTTTTGATTTCTTGTTGGAACTCGTTCATGATGTAGGACCTCATGTGGCCCAATGAGATGCTTGCATTGCCAGTGCCAACTGCGTCGATTACTAGTTGAGGTGAAAATAGTTTTTCTTTGGCTATTACTGTTAGGACCTGGCAAAAGAAAAAATGGTTAATGGTTTGTTAGGTATTACAGTAATCACAAACCATCATGATATCAATGTGAAATTATATATTCTGAATCAGAAATAAATTATCTGCAAGATAAAATAAGATTCAATTCTCTATCTTAAATACTTCTGAAGATATTGAGGCTCAAAGTTGAAACTTTGCCTCAAATTTCACAAAAGATTCAAAGCTGATTTTCTTGAAAACGAAGCCCTTAGGCTGGGAGTCTCAAATAACCTTTTTTGTAGCCCTTATTAAGAGCTACAATTGAGCAAAAGATTCATGCCAATAGCGTTTATGGTTTCCAAAATATAAGCATTTGAAATATTTGAAAATCAAATTTCCATGCATACCCCTTTGGAAAAATTCGAATTTTCAAATTTTTGGATTTTGCAATTTTTGACTTTACCAATCGAAAGAAGAGGTGAAAATTAGTGGGAAAATATTTACGCAACTTTGTTTTTTGGGTTTTGAGGCTTGTGAAAAAATAAAAGCCGTTTTTCCACATTATGGGCCCAGAAAATTTCAATAATCTGACATGGTCATGAGCAACTGCCCATATTGTTATTAAATTTTGAGCAAATTGAAATAAATTATATACCATTCGAAAGAGCATTAAATTCTCTATAAATCCGTGCAAAATTGAGTTTGATAGCTCGGATAGTTTTTGAGATATAGAAGCTCAAAGTTGAAACTTTGTCTCAAATTTGGTAAAAACTTCAAAGCCGTTTTTCTTGGAAACGAAGCCCTTGGGCTGAAAGTCTCAAATAACCTCTTTTATAGCCCTTGTCAAGAGCTACAATTGAGCAAAAGATTCATGCCGATAGCTTCACTGGTTTCCAAAATATGGCCCTTTGAAATATTTGAAAATCAAATTTCCATGCATACCCCTTTGGAAAAATTCGAATTTTTAAATTTTTGGATTTTGCAATTTTTGACTTTACCATTCGAAAGAGGAGGTGAAAATTAGTAGAAAAGCATTCACGCAACTTTGTTTTTTGAATTTAAGGGCTTGTGAAAAAATAAAAACCGTTTTTCCACATTTTGGGCCCATCAGAAAATTTCAATAATCTGACATGATCATGAGCAATGGCCCACATCGTTATTAAATTTTGAGCAAATTGAAATAAACTATATACCATTCGAAAGAGCATTAAATTCTCTATAAATCCGTGTAAAATTGAGTTTGATAACTCGGATAGTTTTTGAGATATAGAAGCTCAAAGTTGAAACTTTGTCTCAAATTTGGTAAAAACTTCAAAGCCGTTTTTCTCGGAAACGAAGCCCTTGGGCTGGGAGTCTCAAATAACCTTTTTTGTAGCCCTTATCAAGAGCTACAATTGAGCAAAAGATTCATGCCGATAGCTTCACTGGTTTCCAAAATATGACCCTTTGAAACAGGGTTGGATGAACCCACCGGGATACCGGGAAATTCCCGGTGGGCCGATTGGAGTGTGGGCCGATCTTTAGAACAACAGGATCCTTCAAACCAAAATCTAAGATACATCAATTGGCTCAAACGGCTGCAGTACAAAGAATATAATGATCAATTCAACGCAACATAAAAGAAGTATGAAATCCTAAAAATATTTTACAATTGGGCAAATACAGGACTAGGAGCAAACGAAAGTGATGTAATAATTCAAGACTCATTATCCACAATTTGTTCTCGTAAAAAAAAAGAAGATGCCAAGAAGGGTGTAAGCAGATGATACTCTTTCAGATCCTACTATTTTTAAATTTGAAGTCGAAGTATTATACACGATGTAACCATGAATAACAAAAATAGAGGCACCTTATTCTAAGCATAGAGATATTTGTGCTGATTTTTCATATTTGGTTTGATGTTTTAATGTTTTGCATAAATACAGAGATTATACATCCCTCATTGCAGTCATCTTTGAGGCCTATGAACTTGAATAAAGACATCTTAGGATTGTTGACTTTCATTCTCATGGAAATGTTTAACCTAGGGCCCCAGGAGAGCATGGAATGGGATTTTCACACTTTGAAGGCTAATATCTCAAAACTGACAGTGGGACATTTCACAAAACTAATTTTTCTTGAATGCTAGAGGTGGTAGCTAAAATGTGTAGCTATTTTCGAAGCGGCACAAACCACTGTGTAGAGACTATATTCGAAATTTGCCAAAAATCATGACTTTTTTAGGAATACAACTATTAGTTGTAAAAATTCCTTTCAAGGAGCTTTAAACACTCGAGCTACTCGCTTCGGTGCTTAGTCTCCCCCGATTTGCAGGGAACATAATATGCGTGGTGCAACAAACACTTTTCGAAAGGAATAAGCGCGTGAAGCCCCGGAGCTGTTCCGGAGCTCCTCCTAGGTGTGAAAGTAATACAACTAATAGTTGTTCAGAGCCACTTTCCAGTGCCCAAATTGTTAGAGTATCATGCTCCTGAAATGTGACGCTCTTGAACTGTTCGACAGCAGCACTGGAACGCTCTCGTCTTAACCCCCACCATTTCGGATTTCAGAGAGGTGCTTTCCAGTGACCTATTTGAGTTACTCCGGAGCAGCTCAAGAGTGCTCCACAATTACTTTGCGCGTTCCAGTGCTTAGAGTGTCGTACACTTGAACTACTCATTTTCAATGACATTTTCTGTTATCCCCTGCCCCCTCGTACACCAACCTTTATTTCGGTGTTTCATGCTCCTGAAGTGCGAAATGGTGGGGGGTTAAGACGGGAGCGTTCCAATGCTGCTTGTGTGGAACAGTTCAAGTGCCACAGTCACACTCCAGAGGAGCATGATACTCTAACAATTTAGGTACTGGAAAGCGGCTCAGGAGCATGAAACATGAAACACAGGCAAAAGGGTTGGTGCACGAGGTGGCAAAGTTGCCAGACGTCCCACCTTGGGAGGGACAGTCCCGCATTTTGTTAATCGGTCCCGCCTTTTTTTTTATTAATTTCAGGTCCCGCTTTTCACGCGAATTGTCCCGGTTTTTCCGCTTTTTCCACCCAATCTCCGCATTTAGTGCAAAAAAACACGCTCAATTTACAACTTGTTACATAAATAGCTATTTCTACATTTAAAATCGACGCAAAAATCAAATAACGAACCTGAATCGCAAACATTTCATCGAGGTCTGCGGATGACGTTACCAATATTAGCTGCGGACGTGGTGACGTCACTCGCAGACCTTGTGGACTCGAGAACCGGCAAACGTACGCCTTCTCAGGATGAACAATCCTGTTAGTTTACGATTCTTGGGTTTTAATAATAAATGTTGTATGTTGTGTAGGCATAAAAATGTCAAAAATTCCAAGAAAATCCAAATCTCATTGCACAAACAAACTAGCATCTGCAAAAAACTTTTTTTCTGGCCACTGAAAAATAGGCATCTTTCGATAAAATAGTGATAAAATATCTAGTGACGAAAGTGAATCATTAGGATTGAACGTTGATTCTTCTGCGGAACTATTGTACCATAGACTTAAATTATTAAAACAATTTTAATAATTTTATTAGTGGCGCCATCTAATAATCGAGAGTCTAAAAATTGAAAAGTTACTATGACAGGAATCTGTAATTCGCATATTTTGGCTCCCGACCATTTTGTTCGAAAATTTGCATAATTTATCAATTATTTTATCGGTTGTATTGATTTTTCTTGATTTCAATTGCCTTAAACAATAACAATTACTTTATTTTGCATTGAAATCAATTAATTACCATTACAAGAATCTGTAATTGGCAACTTCGGCCGCTCGTTGATAGATAGCGCTGGTAGTTTAAATAATTTGTTTTTTCGAATTATTAATTTCAATAATTTTTCTATTGATGACTTGCTTTATATGACTATATTTTTTACTTTTTATTAATAATAAATCACTATTCTCTTATAAATCGATTGATTATTGTTACAGAAATCTGCAATTCGCAAGTTTGGATAGTTGGAGATTTTATGCAAATATAAGTACTAATTAGTTAATATCAATGTTTTTTTCAATTATTAGTGGTTTATTGATTATCAACTATTAGTAATTAAGCGTCATTTGCATGAAAATCGCATTAGCTTCATTTAAGTTTTGGCTGTTCGTTAATAGATGGCGCTAGCATCTTTGTTGATTAATTTTTACATTTTATTCGATAATTAATCGATTTTGATAATTTATCTAATCGTCAATCGTCCAAAATAATCATATTTGGCAATAATTGAACACTAATTATTTATAAAAACATTTAAGTTATATTACAGAAATCTGTAATTTGCACTTTTGGCCCCTAACGATTTGATCCAAAATTTTGTTATTTATTTCATTAATTTTAAGGAAGGTATTTATTAATTAAAATTTCAACCCGTAATTAGTTTTCAATTAAAGCTAATCAAATTATTTACAAATTTTCTGTGAATGATTTCAATAGTTTTGCAACTAGCCTAATATCGCCATCTATTATCATCATGCCTCAAACATTTTGAGCTTAGTACAATAATCATTGTACAATAGTTCCGAAGAAAAATCAACTTTGAACGCTGCAAAGCAATCTACAACGAGGACATGGACAGGAAAATCAAGTTTGTCCTGAGAAAAAACAGGGCCGATCCATTTCCAGGATGCTTATAAATTGTTTATTGTAATAAATTTAGTACATTTAATTAATTAAAAAGGTTCAAGTTTTTGTCGCATTCAAACCACTGACCTTTGGCGCAAACGGAATTATAATCAAATTATAACTTATTAAAACATGGAAGATGGTACCTAATTAAAAAACAAAATTTAAAATAAAATTGGATTCCTGTCCGCGTACTCCTGGACTCCCGGAATTTCCATAACACGTTCAGTAACTTTTTGTAAATATGGAGTTGAGACAAAGAGGTCTTTTTCCGCCATAAAATTCAGAAAGGGTGCATAACCGACAAATACCAAATCGGCGTTAGTTATCTAAAAAACAAATTTGATTCAATTAAATAGAGTGACTAGGGTGTTCTTTGTAGTGTCATTGATACTGCCCTATCAAAAG